CCGTAGCAGACGCGATAGAGAGATATATAAAACAAATTCCCACTAAATTTTAAAGGAATCAGTGGGGTAGAACTTAAGATATCATGTCAACCACTTTAAAAAAAGTAGTTTCGAGAAAATCGCGTTTAAAGTTTTAGAAACGATTTCAGTAAAATAACTCATAATAATATTTAATATTCACTTTGGATTAATCGCGAATCCCAGATCCGTAAATTGAGCCTTCTTCTACTTCCTACTCGATGTTTTGCGAAGTTCTTTCTGCTAATCGAGCTGTTCTGCCTTCTATTGAAGAAGCAGAAGCAGAAGCAGCTGCGTCACAAAATCCACGGTATCTCCGAAAATAATTCGGATTTTTAAAAATCCACTCAAGGACATATTTTGAAGGGTCTAAACTTTGCAAATATGCAAAAAAAAATAATTCAAATTTTTCAAATTTCTAGACCAGAATACCCCCTTAAGGTAAAGGTTCCAGATATTTAATAGTTTAGATAAAATTAATATAAATACATTATTTGAAAATTTATTGGAGGTTCATCAGCTAAAACGAGTGTTATGATTTTTTATATAGTTTTAACTTACAAACTATAATACTTTTGTTTGTAAAATACAAAATAATAAGCATTCAATTGTAATAATTAACGTTACAGCTGACTGTTCCGAATATTGAACATTACTTACTAAATATTGACCGCCTATGTTCCAAATACTGACCAGTAGTATTTTTTATAAAAAATTTAATTGAATTTTTTATTGATATCTTGAAAAAAAATATTTCACATATTTAATTTAGAAAATTAAATATAATTATTAATTAAATCCAAAGTTTTACAGAAAATTTTATTGAAAAATTTAATTTTAATTAAAATTTTCAATAAATTCTCCAAATTTATTTTTAAAAAAATTTTTTACTGATTCTAAAGGATTAGAAATTTTTTGCTCATATTAATAGTTATAATTATAATAGAGTAAAAGCTCAATAAGTATTGAACAGTTTAGATAAAATGAACATAAATACATTATCTGTAAATTTATTGGACGTTTTTGAAGATATAAGCTCATCCCGATGTTACACTCATCGAGACCTTTCATTTGAGTACCCACATCAATTTTTCATATATTTATATATATTATATATTTATAATGATTCTGGTTTCTTCCGTATAGTCCCCCACGGAAAAAGTATATATTCTGAAATATATTCCAGAATATATCCGAGAATATATTCCGAATATACCCCGTTTTGCCCGAGGAATATATTCCGGAATATATGGGCATGCACTCACTTGTATTCCGTTTTACTCAAAATTTTTCTCTGGTCTATAGTCTGGTCTGTCGTCAGATCTATAGTCTGATCCATCGTATATATACTGAATATATTCAGGTATATATAATTTTGAAATATATTCCTTGGGCAAAACGGGGTATATCCGGAATATATTTAGAATATATTCTCGATTAAATTAAATTTTTTCACCGTGAATACATCATACAGACAATAAAACACTAATTGGCCTAAAAATAAATTGAATCCAGGATCAATCCTTAAAGACCAGCTTTAATAAATCTTCACAATAAAAAAATTAAGGGTCTATGTTGTTAAAAAAAAAAATTCGCATTTTATCATTTTCTTTTTTTTTTGTATTCACAGATAACTTTTCCTTTTATTATTATTCACCCTCCGAGTATTAGAGGCTTAACACCAACGACTTGGGGATTGAGATCTTACATATATAGATATATACAATATAATATATATCAACAGAACCTGCCTGTGGCCAGTAAAAGAGGAGACTAAGTTTGTAAGCGAAATAGCACTGTATATTATGTGCGAGTGTTTTGTAGAGGTAAGGCACTGCGGTGGTACATGAATCTGCAGATGGCTCAAGGAAATTACACGATTCCGATACGATTGTCCGCAAGTTAATAAAATAAATGGAACCGTGTTCCGATTTCGATAGTTTACCAGATGCTTTTAATGCATCCACAACAAACAACGTACACTCGTGCAAACAAAATTTATTATTAAGAAGCATGCTTACTATGCTTTGTAAATTAAAAATTGATTTTTTTAGCATTCGAATCCATCTGGATGTACCTTCTAAATTTAATTTTACAGTTTTATTTCTGTTACTGGAAAACTTACAGCTTTTTTACGCAAGACAGTAAGTGTGTCATAAATCATAACTTTAAACGAGTATTTTCTTTTAAGGTAGTATTGTTGGTAGTAGAGTTACTGTTCAGAATTTAATGAAATTTGAAAATTTTAATAACTCCGAAAACAACAAAATTTTTAAAAAATAATTATTATTTATTATTATTTAAAGTTCCATAATTTAACAAAATTTTTAAACTTTTAATATAATTATAAATCGTTAATTTTTAACATATGTGTCAAATAATATTTTTTCTTAAGGATTCAAATATTTAGTTAATAAAAATTAAAACCTTGTGCACCAAACAGATTAAAAATTATTGAATAAATATGTATGTGATTGCGTCCAAAATTCAATATTCTAGATTAATAAATCATCGCTTGAGTAACGACGATATTGATTCCAGCATAAGGATTAAAGTTTAATCGATTATAGTAGTCGAGAATTAATGTTAATAGTTAATATTCCGGCTTATAAAACAAAATTGAAAATTAATGTGTTGTTATCCGAGGATTAAGGATCATGAAATAAGTTAATAGGTACTAGTAGTTTTATTTTACGCAACGTTTCGGAGTTTATTACTCCTTCCTCAGGCGTCTGTGGAGACATACAAAATTTATACAATTAATTATTTTATTTTAATACAGAGCAACACCTCAAAATCTCTTAACTAACTCAATATCACATACCATAAAAGATTTATGTAATAACTTCGTCAACAAACAATAAATGTTGCTCTGTCGTTTCCATCGTAGTCTACAAATTCTAGTCAATACCCGAGTTATCTTAATTTTTACCAAATACATAAATCTTTTATGGTATGTGATATTGAGTTAGTTAAGAGATTTTGAAGTGTTGTTCTGTATTAAAATAAAATAATTAATTGTATAAATTTTGTATGTTTCCACAGATCTAGTATTAACTTATTTCATGATCCTTAATCCTCGGATTACAACACAGTCAGGATCGGAATATCTCTTATAATGATTAACAAGATTTCTCATCTGCAATCACCAAAAATGTATAAAAGACAAACAAACTTAGACGAAGAGTGACTTAAACTAATGCAGAACCCTTGTCGAGAAATAAGATGCATAATGCCCTTTTCGGAAGAGACAAAAGAGGAAGTTAAATGAATTAAATCTTAAATTGATTAAATGTATCTATATATTTAGGAAAGTAAAGCGGTACGCGTTGGAGTATAAGCTTGAGAAACCTGGGGATTGTGATAACATGTGACTTTATCTTAAATTCACAAGACATCACTCTGTACAGGTAGTCTGTTTACGTAAAATAATGCCGGAGATGATGATGCTCTTGAAGAGGGAGCAGAAGCTAATAATAATATTTAAAACAAAGTTGAATAAATAACCAGCCCAGAGCCGACGAATGATCACTCCAGATCGATCGATCGAATTGAATTAACCCTGAAAAATTACTCGCTGAGAAGAGGAACTCTCGGGAAAAGTTTCACTGAAGGGGTTGGAAAAGTATCTGAGAGCCAGAGGATAAAAGGGACCGAAAATACGGAATAAGGGAAGAAATTCTCCAGCTACAAGAACTTCATTTTCCGAACCATTACGCTCTCACTCTGAGGGGTGAGGATAAACTTTGAGTGTGAGATAGTGTAGTGTCTAGTGGAAAACCCCTTTTACCTTGAAATTAATTTATATCGAAATTTAAAATGACACTCATCGAGCGCTACAATAAATAGAGGGTCTAATATAAGCTCTTTATAATGGCGGAGCTTTATTCTCTTTTTTTAATCATTTTTTAGCGAAAGATTAATTCATAGAAGCTTATATCTTTAAAAACGTCAATATTTAAGAAAGTACAATGCAATTTAACAAAATTAATTATTTAATAAAGCAAAATTTTATTTATTTATAGTTCACAAGTCACGACAGTCATACAGTGACTGCAAGGTTGCTAGTTTTTTATTAAAATTTATATTTTATTAAATGAATTTACTTAATTGATATTTAATGAAAAATCAAAAAAATAAAGAACTGATTATTACATTATTAATGACAAATTAAAAAAGATTAAACAATAAAGCCAGCTCATGTCATTATTATTGTATCAATAATTATAGTAATTTATATAATCAAGAAAATGTTAAGAAAAATTTTGACTCCGGCGTATTGATATAATAACATGAGTTTTTTAAATCAAATTTACTATCATTACAAAGGTCAAAACCTGAATTTGTGCCTTTTCAATGTTTCATTTTCTTTTCAGCAATAATTAATTCATTATGATAAATTTTCGAAGTAGTTCTAAATAGATTCAAATTTCGCGATAAACAAAATTTTTTTATTTATTTATTTTGTTTTGTAAATATCAAGGAGGTTAAATGTCATAAATTAATTTATATAATTAAGAGGCTAACATAAATTTTTAAACGGGTATATATTTATCGTAAATTGAGTTTGATATTTTTTCAACGATAGTCCTTTATGATTTAAATAATTGAGAGAGTAAGGAAAATTTTGTGACGAGCATATTATTATTTTTAAAGGAATTTTTATAGTTTAATCTGGTATTATCAGAAAGGTCTTGATAAGAATTAATGCCTTTTGGTTTTATATATTTTTTAGTCAATTTTTTGTCAAGTTTTGGAGGAGTTTTTAATAGTTTTTTGGTTCTATAAATTTGTTCCATCACATTTGTCCATTAAATTATTTGTAATAGATCCTGTAATAGCATAGTGACTGCAGGTTGCCAGTTCACTATTACATTTTTAACTTTAAAAATAAATAACTCGTTAAATAGATTTTTCATTTTTATTCAACATATGTTCTAATACATACAATTCGTTAAATCTCCCGAGAAATTTTTAGATTTTTAACGAAAAAATCTCCTTGACCCCCATTCCTTACGTCGCACAGTCCTCGTTTCCTTGCCTGTTCTCCTCCCATTACTAGGACCAACTTCCAAGTTTACAATACCACCAAGATATGATTTTCTATAACCTGGTGCTGATATAGGATCATTGTACTCTCTAACGGTTGTTATCGGTCCAGTGTCATGAGCATAATATTGAATTTGAGGATACCCACCCGAAAAAGCTGGGTTGTAGGAATTTTGATAACCTTGATTGCTGTTTGGAGGATAAATTGGTTGAGGATAAATTGGTTGAGGATTAATTGGTTGAGGGTAAATGGGTTGAGGATAAATGGATGGAGGATAATTGGGTGAATAGTTATCTTGATTGAAGGCAGGACTATCTGGTGACCAGTCATTCATATTTTGAAATCCTGAATCTGGTATTCCTGGTGACCAATCATTCATATCTTGAAATCCTGAATCCGGTAACTCTGGTGGTGACCAGTCATTCATATTATCAAATCCTGAATCCGGTAATTCGGGTGGTGACCAGTCATTCATAGTATCAAATCCTGAATCCGGTAAATCATATGGAAAAGCTCCCGAATAAATCTGAACAACAAATAATTCAATTAATTAATTCATGTAAAAAATTTTCATCAAAGACTATTTAAAAATTTACAAATTATCAAGCTTTGGATTAAAATATAGATAAATAAATATTTGAAATAAACTTACCGCATTGGCTGTAATAAACACTAAAATTGTTATAATTTTAGCAGACACCATCGTGAATGATGAAGAATTTTCACTGATCACTATTAATTTAAATTAGTTGACTAATACACGAACTGATCACTCTGAACACTCAGATATTTCTGACGATCATTTCAGTAGTGTTGCGCCGATGGCTTAAGTTATATAGCATTACCCACTCCACTAAGTCCAATTGCCCGTTTTTACCCGGCACTGAAAGTTAGTGTTGCCATCTACTAAAAGCGCGGTAAATTTAAAATTAAATATTAAATCTTAGAGCATTCAAAATAAAAAGTACACAATAATAATTATTAATAAAATTTATTGAATCATTTCGTTTTTTTAAACTTTCAAAACATAATATTGTTAAGTATTTGTTAAATATATAAACCATATAAATTAAAAAATAAACATTAGACGATGTACTTAGTAATGATAATCGTTATCATAACAATATTCATTCAAATTTTTTATTATTTATCGTTATTTTTCCTAAACATTTGTGTCAATCATTTCGTTTGTTGGCTCAAAATTAATAATTTCGCTATCCTTAGATAAATAATTTTTAGTTACTGATACAGATTTTAAGGTTTCCGTGGATAAATTGTTTCTATTAGTCAATTGATTTTGTGAATCACTCATTATGTTCCGGTAAGGCGCAAGTTCAAGTTATGAGGGCAAGCGGGGAAAATATGAGTTTGAATTATACATAAAAAATATTTATTCATTACTTTAACATAAAATGTAATTTAAGGAAATCCAAGTACCCTGCTAGTGTAAAGAATGTCTAAAAAAAAATAATGCGTAGAAATACTTTTGTTATGCATCTTAAAATTAATTTTCAAATTAATTAATAACATTTTTGAGGGAATTTCCGAAAAATTTACGCATTTAATAATTATTTAATTGACTAAAAAAAATATAGCACTCTGAATTACCGGTAAACACTTGACAACACCGTAACAGTTCCCTAACCTTGAAATTTACTTGTTTGTAAACATGTCTCAGATAAACCAGCATAATTTGCGAGCGCATTTTGGCAAATTTCCTACACATTTTATAAAGAAATATATAATTTTATTTATGTAATCCCGTTAATTAAATTATATTCCTTACTCATCAATTAAATGATTTCCAACTTTTAATTGTAAGGGCCAGTTTTTCAATCCAAGATAAAATTTTATCCGAGATAAAAGTACTGCGAATATAATAATAAAAATAAATAATTCAGCACAGTGATATTGCATACAAGTAGTTCTCCCTGAATCAGTCACTTATTTTTAATTAAAATAAATAAACATTAGCTACATGTCACAGAAATATTATTCTCCAACTGTTCTGTTCACAGAAATATTGAAATATTAATCTCCAACTCTTCGAGCTCATATCTTGCGTTTGACATATCTATTATTAATCTATAATTATGTTAATTAATTTGGAATAATTTAAATCACACAATGAGAGGTTATTATTATTTTTATGATATATTTATTTATTATTTAAATAAATGACCAAATTCATGGAGAACTAACTGAGAGCAATATCACGTCGCTAAATTATTTATTATTTTTTTTTTTTTTCATTATATTGACAGTACTTTTATCTCGGATAAAATTTTAAAAATATTATTTAGCTCTTCGAGCTCAAA